TTTCTTTCTTTCTTTCTTTATTTATTTCTTCCTTTCTTTCTCTCTCTCTCTATGTCAGTCAGTCTGTCTGTGTGTTTGGGGGCAGTGGTGGGTTTCAAAAAATTTGGGAACCTCTTCTGTAGGTGTGGCCTGCTTTGCAGGTCCACTGGTGGAACCTCTTCTAACCGGTTCGGTAGATTTGACGAACCGGTTCTACCGAATAGGTGCGAACTGGTAGGAACCCACCTCTGCTACAGACGCCTCACATCCTGGAGGGGTCTATAGATAAACTGTTTCCACTCCTCCTCTTGGGATGGCGATATAGGGCTTTGCATGCCAAAACAATTAGACACAAAGGCAGTTCCCCCCCCCCTCATGCCATCACTCTGCTGAACATTCAATTTGCTCAGTGCTGCTTAATATCTGTTACCCCATGTAGTGTGGCTGCAATATTATTATTGTTGTTGTTGATATTAATCTGCTTTTGTACCAGAGACAAGTTCCTTGTATGTTTAATTAAATTGGCCAAATAAAGTATTCGATTCAATTCAGATCCAGGCACTATACAGCAGCTCCATTTTAATCTTCCAAATGGGAAACTGTAGAGGTGGACTCTAAAACAGAAAGCATCTGAAACTGACAGGTGGAAATAATGCTAACTATGAAAACCCTAAACTTTCCCTGCAGGAAGATAAATAGCTATTGCTGGGCAGGTGGGGTGAGGGATTGTAAGAGTGGCTTGGAAACTGTCAGAGAAAGTTGACGATAACAACAAGCAGTAGCAATGAAGCAGCCATGGTTTTCCCCAAATTTCATTCCCTCAGGAGTCATGAGTCCCAGATTTAGGGCACATTCTGCAACTTAGCCCATTTGAGATACTTTGGTTCAACGATTGTGACCCTACGATGCGCCGTTTTGCCTAGCTAAAGGTCATGACAATGAGAGTTTTAACAGTATACAGATTTGTATGCCTTAAACAGTTAGAATCCACCGCTTTATAATTAATGTCATTTTTAAGAACACCATAAGAACCATAACTCTGCCTGTCAGCCAATCGCAATTCAACCGTTACTGACTTTCATGCAGAATTTAAAGGAACATCTGCCCCTAGACACAGTTATAAATGAGAAGCAGATGAAGCTACTTAAATTTCTGGGAGATCTAATACCGTCATCTCACGGACTTCAAAGGCGTATGATCCTGCCACAGTTCCTTTAGAAGTAGAGTACAAAACAGCTTCAAGCTTGAAAAGATGTTTGAAGCACGATTTACATGCAGAATTCACAACCTTATTTCCGGTAAGGATGGAACGAGTCCTTTTGAAAGTGAAATCTTTTGCAAGTCCCTGCTCTTCCGTATTTCTCATCATCCAAAATGCAATAGAATCCAAGAAGCAATAACTAAAATTCCTCCTGAAATTCATGGGGCTGAATGTCAATAGTCTCCCACTGAGAACTGGCTCTTTAACCTGGGTCTTGTATTAGGATAGTTGGGGGTTCTTGTTGGATATGTTTGGTCATGCGGATATTCTTAGCAAAACTCACCATCTCTTCTTCTTCTTCTTTATTCCTTTTCTTTTTATACCCGTTATTAATTTTCTACTTTGTTTGCTTTTATTTATACCATGCAGAATTAGTTTGGAGTTGGACAGTGCCTAAACTGAATAAATTGAACCAAATTAATTGGGTCTTTACCTGGTTCCTTAAAATCACTGGGTGTTGCTGATAGAGACTGCAGCAGTCCATTCTGTTTCAATGCAGAAATCTGAAACGGAGAGAGATGAGGATTCTAAGGCGCAAAGCAGAAAGTTGTCGGGCGCGAAGAATCAGGACTACACATTAAATTCCAGTAAGCTGATTTATTGTTCATGCTTATATTCCAGAATCTAGCCAAATTCAGCATGAAATTGGTGCTAATAGAGTTAACAGAATTCAAGAAGGATTGGACTTAAATTGCTTGCAGGAATGTAAGGACTCCAGGCTGATTCCTCTCTTGATTACATCCCCAGGCTCTGCCTCTCCTTCTCTAAATGTGAAGAACGCATCGGCAACCTTTTCATAACTTATCTGCAAGGCCTTTCCGAGGCCAATATCTCACAAAGTGATTTTGTGTCACTGCTTCAGACCTTGTAACACCGCAACTTTTTCTGTCATGCACGTTTTTAGCAAGAACTAAAAAGTCATAAAGAACACATAATCTGTTCCTCAGATTAACCTGTTTGTTACTATAATCACCCAGTGTGCTTAATACAAGATTAACTACAGTTTACTCAATTAACCCGATTTTCTGATTTCACCCACCAAACTAAACAAGTGTTTCTCAGCCTTGGTATTTTAAGATGGGTGGACTTCAACTCCCAGAATTCCTCAGCTGGCATGAAATCAAACATGCAGCGTCAAAATTTCAGCAGGGGGTTGTATATGGGGAAGCCCAAACTACGGGTAAAGATACATACTGTCATATTAAAAGGTCATTTATAATAAACAAAAATATAAACCTGATGAAATTATGTTTCCGTCAGGGAGGATTAAAAACTGGAGATATGGGTTAAGAAATAGGAGCTGTTTGGCTCAAGTCCCTAGCAGCTAATATCTGTACCCTGGAGAAAGGAAGTGGAACAGTTTCCTCTTTTAAAGAAACATGCAGACAAAAAAAAGCTGATTTCCTTTCTTTCCACAATGTTACATTGAACAAAAGAGTCAGTTTCAGATTTGGTAACTGATTCCTAATCCGTTTTTTTCCCCCCGTGTTTTAGAGATTGATATGAGTCAAATAAGATTATGGGACGCTTCTCAACTCTATTTCTTACTGTCATTCATGCAAGAGAAATTGGGTCACATTTGCATAATATTTGGATTTAAGAAAAGACTGCATACGTGTCTGTGAACTGTGGTTAAATTCTGAGAAACTTGAATGCAAGTTGATTCTCGTAATAGAGTGTAAAGTCTGCTCAAACATTGGTTGGGGGGAGCATTTCCCCATAATGTTTCCTAAACTTATGTCCTCCACCTGCAGTCAGCTACACCCCCAATGATCGTAGCCAGCAGGAGTACTGTATTAGGAAAGACAGTTAGAACTTAGTGACCAGTATACTCACATGCACAGCTTTGTAAACTGGATAAGTAATTGTTTGTGTTTCACGCTGGCAGTTGTTTGTGCTGCACTGTTTCATCCCCTAATGGAAACAATGAAATCAGAGTCACCAGGGAAAGCACGATCGTGTCTCAAATCCCAAAGGTGCTTTTCCTTCTGCAAAGGAACAAGAAATTCAGCTACATGGTGCACAGAACTGCCTGCATCAATTGCAACTGAGCAATCCATTTTTCCCCATAATTACAGAAGGTACGATTCCAGAATGACTGCTATGTAAAACTGCATATGCATTCCGTATCTCTTTCCAATTATTATGGAATATTCCATATTCCTTCCAACAAGGGTTCGCACCAACCTCTCATGCCCTTTTCATAGTGGTACGGGACAAAGGGACAAAAACACCACGACCTCAACTGCATCCTGATTCAGGTGCCCAGAGGGCACAGAGAACACCCCCACCCACCCCACCCACCTCCTCCCCGGCAGTGGCCTCAAACAGCTCTCAGAGTGTGTTAATGACCAGATGACTGCAAAGATATGCAATCCTTCCATCCATCCCCACCATTATCCTATCAGAACCTATCCTTCCATCTCCCAGAACTGATGAAGCTTCTTGGGTAAGAAGCGAAATGTTTTCTTCCTCCTCCTCTTCTTCTTCCTCAAGGAAAATACAGTCCACTTGTCTTTTGAAGAAAAAAGAACCTTTGAAACAACGACTGTCTGGGTGAGGCAGGACCCCAAGTTCTAATTTGGAAATGCATTATCTCATTTGAAGATTCTTGGGGGTGGGTGGGAGGTGGGATTTGCAAAAATGGAGCAGCTGCAGCTTTCCACGCCCACATTCACTGCCACTTCCAATTGCTCTGGTTGGAAGGTCCTAAGAGGGAACTCCACAACTGGCTTGGGGAACCTGTCCAGGTGGCCAGGATGTCCCTTGAGTTGCCATGCATCTAAATTTACAGCCTGGAGGCAAACAGCTGTTTGCTGCTATACTAACAAAAGGCCAGAAGGGATTAAGAGGGGAAGCAAAGGTGCCAGGGATGAATGGATGTTGGTAGCCCAGCTTGGTCACTGGTGGAAGCAGCTTTCCAGGTGAAGAAAAGGCAACCTGAGATTTGAAAAAAAAAACCCTGCAAACCCCCTCCCACTTCCTTCTCTAGGCCCACAATTATGTTTTGGAAAAAGACTCACCTTTTATAGTTCCTTCTACAAAGCCATCTGATCACGACAGAGTCCGCCCCCCCCCCAAATAAAAACACCATTCCCACGACCTCCTGTCCCAGAGGGGCTTTCTTTCTGCCCTCTCTCAACAACCCCCAACTCACTAACTCTTGCCCCTAAATCTTTTCGCCGCACCTGCCAACTGCCCAGGCTCTCTTCCTCCCCGTGCACGCATCTGCAGACACGTGTCAACAGGTTCCCACGTTCCCAGGCCCCGTTGCTCTTCCCACGGTTCTGCCCAGAGCCCCCTGCTGCCCTCGTCACGCACCCACGGAGGTGTCATTCCTGAACAGCTGGACCGAACCCGGGTTTTAAGTCCGCCGTTTTTCCTCCAATCTGGGTTCTGTTGCTAACATTCCCTCCCCCGCTCGTAACGCCCACAGGAGCAAAAAAGCGCAGGCGCGCCGCTTGGCATGCTGGGAAGCGTAGTCCGAGCTTAGTTGGGAACTGGGAGGCTCGCTCCGTGCTCTGCTTGGTGGCAAAGGCACCACTCGGAAAGAGGATAAATGAAATAACGCAAGGGGCTGTGGCATGGGGATCATGCAAGAGGTTTAAGCGGGTTTGCATCGAAGCGATTCCCATTTCCTGAGGCCAAACCTCGTCTTTTAATGAGCCGCAGGAGAGTTTTAGTTTCGGGGCTACGCTGCATTGCGTTGAAAAGGGAATCTCTAATGCAGGGGTCTCCAACCTTGGCAACTTTAAGCCTAGAGGACTTCAACTCCCAGAATTCCCCACCCCCAGCTGGGGGTGGGGAATTCTGGGAGTTGAAGTCCTCCAGGCTTAAAGTTGCCACGGTTGGAGACCCCCTGCTCTAATGTCTATGGCGATTTTCAGTCATCCAAGTCATGTTTGTCCCAAAAGGGCTTTCATCCAAGAAGCTTCTTCAATTGAACAGGGAAGAAGGGGAGGAAGGAAGGAACTAACTTTGGGAATCGCTGATGGTTTTGATCCTTTGGATCCGTCCGCAGCCAGATATCCACCAATTCATTTGGAAGATTTTCGACCAGGAGGTCTTCCGCCAGGAAACAGCGGAGGATTCTGTTTTGCTTCATTCTGATGTTTCTCTGATTAGGTCCCGCCCTGCTAAGCTTTATGCTGCACCTGAGCCCAATCCATCAACGTTTGTCAGAAACAAGGCAAGGCTTGGTTTTAAATCCACATTGGGGGGGTGGGGGTCAGAGAGTGAGGGCAAACTGCTTAGAACTGGGCTGCTAAGAGACATGCGGGATGTTTTGTACCAGTGAGGAATATAAAGAAATGCCCACAATTTGGCTTGCAGATTGAATTTTGCAGAGGCACCTCTGCTGACAATCCAGTAACTGAGATCAAGTATCCTGCAAGGCCAAATCACAGCTGGATTTTTGATTAAAATGAGAGCTCACTGATGCTGTTACCTAGTTGGATAATTAAACGTCTGCAAGAAAACAAACTTCAGAGAGCACCAAGGCCCCTCAGAGAAGAGAGAAACAATTTCACATCATAATTGCACTTGGAAAGGGCTTTAAAAAGTGTGTCTGCTTCCTTAATCTTAATCACTGTATTTATTTTAAATAAAGCCTTTAAAACAATGGTTTAAAACATATATGTGTGTGTGTGTGTGTTTTATTTGTGCTGATAAATAAATAAAGGGAGACTAGTATAAATCTATTTCAAGCTATTTAGCTCTCATCAGCTAGCCATATCCTTACTGGGAATCGAGCCTGTGCTGTATTGCATATTAGGCAAACATCTTAGCCATTATATATATATATATATATATATATATATATATATATATATATATATATATATNCACACACACACACACACTGCTTAGGTTTATACTTTGGATTAAACCTGCTGGAATGGCAATAAATTTCACAATTTATACCTACGTATAACTGATATATATGTGCGCTTGCACAAATGCCCCAGTTTAACTCAGGATTTTATTAGCTCAATACTCAGTGAAATGGGCTGTGAATATTGCTCTAAAAGGCACATTTTACCTGGCTTTCTTCCATTCCTTTTTACTACTCTAGGATGCTATGAAAACACTTCAGCTGAAAATGCTATTGAAGAAGCCAGCATTAAATATAGAGGGATTTTTTCATTTAGGTAACCAATTCCTGGCCAAGCCAAGAGTTGCATCTTTAACGGAGGCTTACCTGAAGTTGTTCTCGGTGGAGTCTCATAGGGCCAAATTGCACATAGGTTCCCACTGCCGAAGAAGAAGAAGAAGAAAGGGACAAATTTAAATGATATTTCAGGAGAAGAGCAGACGGAGATGGAGGGTGGGGTTAAATGTGTCATAAGTTTGGAATCTTTCCCATTCCAGCTCCCTGTGAATTTCTGTTGACCCTTATCTAGGACCTATTTCATTCTGACCATTAGTTGGCCAGATTCTTGTGTATAGGTAGCAATGATAAACACTTCCACGCATTGGACTCAGCAAATGCTCCTGGTTATTTGGGCCAGAAAGAGATGCTGCATCTGGGCAAAGAAACATAGATTTCACTTCATGGTTTCCTCCTAACTCAGAAACATCAAGTGTCAATCTCAAAACCGCATGGAATTTGCAATCAGTTACAACAACTCTAAAGGAGCAAATGAATCAGCTCATTCCAAAGCTTTTCGGCTAGCTATTTCTTAAGCGGACTAAAATAACAATAATAATTAATCACAGAACTTGCTCAACCTGCTACCTGTTTGGAGAAGAACGTTTGAAACCAGCCTGATGCAAAAGGGAAGAATAAAAAAAAAATCAAGATGTTTCATCGTTTCTTTCTGTACTTTTAGCTTTTTTAATTTCTTTTTCCTTTCCTCACTTTATATTATTAGTCCTTGTTATTTTTTAGTCTCCTTTTTGATTTTTTAAAAATCAAAAGTACATATATAAAAAATCCCAACACAAGCAGAATGGGTAAACAATGCATTTTATTTACAGCTGGGCAGATAATAATGATTCCCCCCACCCACCCCACTATATTGATGTTCTGGGTCCACAGAAATACATAACAACAATTTAGTAAGGAAACAGTAAGGGGTGATGTCATTCTTTGCTTAAAAAATCATTGAAAATTATACCAATAAAGGACAAACTGTCAACAGAAGACTGTAACAGCTGAAAAGGGGCTTACACAATTTAACTCTGAAATTACTCAAATTATTATTATTATTTGCTCAGCTTCTGATTATTCTGAATCTGAATAGCAACTGATGGAAGGAGAGCACAGAAGTAAATAAATGGCTTTCTGTCTGATTTTGGCTGACTCCAAATTTGTTGTTGTCTGAAACAAAATATTACTTGACAGTTCTACATTTTTTATGCAGAGGTACCATGGTACTAACACCAAAACATTGTCCTCCATNTTCATGCAGGTGTAAATCAGAAGAAAAATACCCAACTCCTAACCACTAAGAAAGGTCAAGAAACCGTTGAGAACTAGTGTGATGTTGTTCTGACCCAGGGCTTCCTTAAAAAGCAAGAAGCAGAGTCTTGGTCCCAGCAAAACCCCTTTTATTTACACGATTGTGAATTCCTTTCATTCACAGTCAGCAAGGCTCAGCAAACAGTCTTTCAGAGGAATGTTTATCCACACGAACCTTATCTCGTTTGGAGCGCTAACAGATAACTAGTTTCCAAACGCAGGGCAAGGCAAAACTTGGCACAGAGTTTCTTATAGTCACAAACAGAACTTTCCACTCTTAAAATGACTGAAGGAACAAATTGTTTCTTGCAAATGCCCACTCCCCATTTGCTCCTCTTTTGTTTCCTATGGGAGGGGCCAATCACCTCCAAGGGTGTGGCTTTACTCCTAAGTCGACCCTGCTTTCTTAGTTCTTGTCTTCTGGCAGCTCGGCGCATGCACACCCTGGAAACAGGCTCCAGCTGTTCCTCTGCCTCACTGCTGCCTAGCTCCCTCTCTGCCTCCGACGCAGAGCCCTCGTCTGAGCTTTCCTCAGCCCTCAACTGCCCTATGTTCCTCCACAACCTCCTCACTGTCCGACTGCTGCCAGCTCTGCTGGCTGCCAGCGAGCCACAACAGAAGTAGTCACGAAAGTATTGAAGAAGGATGGGAAAACCCAAGTTCTAGTCCGTCACAAAGGTTTTAGACACAAAGGTTTTTGGGGTGAGTGAGCCAGTTAGTTGCCCAACCTAACTGTGAATTGTGGGGGAGCCCAGAGAAAGGAGAACATAGACTCATAGGCCTGGAGGGAACCTCAAAGGTCTTCTAGTCCAATGCCATGCTCTCAAGGCAGGAGACCTTATACCAGTGATGGGTAACCTTGTCAACACTGAGTGCTGAAAATGCATGTGTTGGAGTACCAGGGCCTGGAAGAGAGCAGCTGTCCAGCGTGCATGCACATGACGGAACGCAGAAGAGCAGATGGCAACGGCGCATGTGCTCAGAGAGAGGGCTCTGCGTGCCACCTCTGACATGCGTGTCATAGGTTTGGCATGATGGCCTTATACCATCCTGGCCAAATGACTATCCAGTCTATTTCTGAAAAACTCCAGTGATGGAGCACCCACAAGTCCAGGAAGTAAGCTTTTCCCAGGGATAAATTATTGTCCTCGGAGCCTTAGTTACGTCACTG